AGCAGGAGTGCCCCTGATGAGCTGCAGTTCCATCTCACAATCCACCCCGGCCCCGGGGCCCCATTCAGCCAGCCCCTGCCCCTGCCCCACTCCCTCCCTCACTGTGAGGGTTTTGATCTTCCCCCCTGTCCCTTCCCTCCCCCACACCCCTCACCCACACATGCTTACCTGCTGGGTGGTGTGTGTCTTTACTAGGCACCTTTCAGTCAAAGTCAAATTCTAAATTTAGATTCAAAGTAAAAAGCTATGGAAAACATAGAGAAATTATTTCCTAATTCTATCAACTGTTCACTAGACGGATGTTATTCTAGTGAAAGCAAGAGGATCCTGAACTTTCAGTGCAGTCATTTATGCCATCTGGGATTATAAAATCAAAAAAAATTATAATTCCACAATACTAAATCTCCTGAAACATTCTTGAATTTGGAACTGAGGGACCATGAATAAGCTTGATCCTGTTTCAGTGAAAAGCACTGGGGGTCTTGCACATGAATTCAGAGGGAGAAGTATTGAATGCCATGTATGATATGCATGAATTTCCTGTCTTTTGCAAAAATATTGTATCTGCTGAGTTTTAAATCATGACTCAGATCATATGCCTCTGAAAACAGATCATAGGAAATCAGAACCCTAGCAGAGGCTTGGACTCAGGTTCAGACATGCAGGAGCTGATTTGAGTTACAGAGGTACAGGAGACATGTGATTTGCTATTCTATTTTTGCAGAAAGAAAATCAGTCAAATCTGACTTTGAACAAAGTCAAAGTCAAGGTCAATATTGCCATTGGCATAAGTAGGCACAACCTTGTTTGCTTTGATGGACTTGAGTCAGCAAAAAATTTAGCACTATTTCCCAGTTCAGTAACATGATTGCTCTGTCAGACCCAGTCAAACTTTCTCAGCAAACTTGTTACTACAGATCTCTGGAGAAAAGGCAAGCACTTCTTAGGTGCAGGAGGAGGCAAGTTACTCGCATTCTTATGTTTGCCCAACTTTTCATATAAGTCGTGACACTTTGAAAACTCCCTTGAGGGTTTCCATTACTACAATCAAGGGGTAAAGTTATATATAGAGAATATTTTATTTCTTTACTTAGAGGTTCTTCTTGGCTTCCCAGATCATATCCTACCCGAACAATATGTGTTTTGTACAAATATTAGGCAATTAACTCTCACCACCCACCTCGGTGGGTAAACATTTTAGACCCATTTTATTACTTGTATTGCAGCAGTATCTGCTAGGAGCCCAAATCATGAGGAATGCAACACAGAAGAAGCAAATGTTGGCGCTGTTGTGCACCTACTACATCTGTCTACTGGCATAGGCAATACCTAATACATTCTTCTTGGATCTCTGTAACTCCTTCCTATAGGCAGCATGCTCTTCAAATTAGGTGGACTGGAAAAAAATCATAAAAATTGTAATTGAATACAAATTAATGTGAAACTAAAATTATCCTTTTTGCTTCAAGCTTAGAACAAGCTAGACTGGTCCTCCTGTGCCATTTCTCATCTATTTCACATCTTTCACAAACAACATCTGTGGCCATAGCATGCTCTTCAAAATTTGAAACTATTCCTGTTATATTATATGTTAGATTATTTTCATAGCACCGTAATATATTGTAAGATGGCGAAGGGAACACAGACGGGCTGGAGTAAGCACCAACAGTATGTCCAGCACTGTACAGGACTCAAAAGTAGACAAAGTCCCTGCCCTGAACAGCTTACCATCTTAATAGTGCAGGGTAGAAGGAATGCACAGAAGTCCAGGGAAGAAATGTCTAGGAGTTTTACAACCGTGACTCATTATCCTAATTTTTCTGAGAATGTTGCTGACTTTACCCCATTCACACTTAGAAAGAAAAATAAAATCCCTTGTGCTGTGTCAATAAGCCTCTAGGAGGGAGTATAATTCTGGGGAAGGCATTGGTCACTGCTGATCTCCAAGTCCCTGCTAGATACTTGGCTACCGAGACACATTAACTAAAGCAATGATTATGTTTAAATTACTTGTGTTGGATCTACTGTTAAAGGAGCAGTTTGGGTATTTCAAAGGTGAAAACTGAGTGGGAGGTGGGGATTTGCTCTCAAAATCACAGCTGGATTTTAAGTAATCACCATAATGAATGTGTGCTGCTGTAAGAAGTGTTTCGTGAGCCTTATAAGCTAGGGACAGAAATTACACATAAACAGACATAACTGATTATTGACCAGTTCAGCCAGTTATCTTGTGTTCTCTGTAACACAAGAGAAGTTCAGTGCACATAAGCCACTTTCAAAATGGCCAAAATTGGTTTAAGATAAATCTGGATGGATGTAGTATAAGATTTAACTGATTTAGGTCAAACCAGTTCATTGAACTTCTGTCCCAGATCCCCTCCAGATTCAAGTTAACTCACAGTCCCCCAGCATCCTGGGATACCTTGCACCACACCCGCAAGCCCCACCTCACAGGGTGGGCAGGGTAGCCTTGGCCCAAGCTGTCTGCTCCAGCCGAGCAGAGTGGCACGCTTTAGCATCCCCTGGCTTCTAACCGGGAGCACTGCAGGCATGTAGCTGTATTTCCAGAATCAAAAGTGAATGTCTGTCCACTTGCTTATCAGTTCAATCTACGCAGCTTAGACTAACCTGTAAAGATTGAATCAATTCAGTCTCAGACTTTTTGACTGTCTCTACTTAGCCCTTGAAGAGCTACAACTAGTCTGCTACTTACACAGGTTTCTCTTGAGTTCACAAAACAGTTCAGCCTCCTCAACATGTTTCTGCTCTTCAGTGTCTTTTTATCATGATAACAAATACTATTAATATCCTCCAAAGCCCAACCTGTGTCTCAGGCATGGATGTGAAGGAGGTTCAGTGACTGAGTGAAGTATGTGAAGACAATGGAACATCTAAACCAGTGGTTTTCAAACGTCCTAAAGTCATGGAACCCTTTCATATCACTTCTGCTGCTGCAGAAAACCTACCCCTATCCGAAAGGGAGACATGGAACCAGGCAGCCCGGCCTGGCAATGGTGGCACCCCACCTCCCAGCTTGTTCCACAGGTACCTTAAATTTCCTTGCAAAATCCCTGATGACCTGTGGTGGAATCACATGGTTCCACAGAACACATTTTGAAAACCACTCATCTAGACCAGTAGTTTTCAACCTTTTTAGACTCAAGTTTCTCTCAGTAGACTCAAGGTATCCTTGGAAAATGTCAGCTCTTAGTTTTCACTCAATTTTGACTACAGAAAAAAACCTCAGAAAAAAACACAACAGGGCAGAATGGTTTTAACACTCTACATTTCTATTTGAAATTTCTGAATTTATCTTCTGAATCATGTTTGCATGCGTAACAGTGCTAACATTGTGTGATAACCCACAACATCCTTGAAAGGATCTCCAGGCATCCCACAGCACTGCAGCACTGTCGTAAATAATAATTAATCTAAACAGAGGTAGGAGGGTTGGGGGAATGTAGGGGAAACAAAAAAACAGTAAGGTATTTCCTGTATTGCAGCAGCATTTACTAGTCCCAGTTATAATCAGGATCCCATTATGTTAGGCACTTCACAGATAGATAAAGAAAAAAGGGTCTTTACCAACACGGAGCTTACAAATTATGGATCTAATGCCCTAGTTAGCAAATTAACATTACTCAGAACCTTTGCTTTTGTCTGTTTGGACTGTACGCTCTTCAGAACGTGACCTGCCAAACAAACTGACAGTCAGGAAGAGAAATAAATCAGAGTTCTGGGGTGCCAGACAATGTCACAATGTACATGTGATGAAATGTACATCACTGTGTGTGGCTTAATGGTGTTACAGATTACATGTACCTGTGTTTTATGGGTTTAAAATGAGTTTGCATTTTTTCAACTAAATTACATCCCGATGTAGTTTAGGTTGCAACAATGCAATTTGGAATATTGCAGTCATTAGTCAGCTCACCCTCAGGCTGCAGGAGAGGCAGGCAGGCTCTGCAGAAAAAAAAGCATCAGGCCCTCACCACTTCTGCCTCCTGCAGCTGGCACAACACCTGGGGCCACCCAGGAATGAGCTGGTTTGCCCCTGAGGCAGCATAGGAAGGTGGCAGAAGGGCAGCTGGGTTTGCTGATGGCCGGAGAATGCAGCGACACTGCACGGGGTGTTGGAAGCCCAAGCGAGCTGCTGGGTGGCTGGGTGTTGTCCCAGCTCAGAGGAACCCAATCCAACACTTCCAGCACCCCATGCACCATCTCTGCCACCTTCTATGGCTGTCAGCACAGCCAACTTCCCTCCTGCCATCTCCCCGCACTGCCCCAGGGACAAGCTGAGTGTGCTGGGCAGCACCCGGCCAGCTAGCAGCTTGCCTGGGCTTCTAGTGCCCCATGATCTGTCTCCACTGACTTCTTCAGCCAGCAGCAAACCCAGCTACCCTCCTGCTGCCTTCTTGCACTGCCCCAGGGGCAAGCCAGCCTGTTCCTGGATGGCCCCAAGCATCTTGCTGGCTGCGTGAGCCTGATGAAGGCATAAGCAGCGAGGGGCCTAATCCTTTTTTCCCCCATGGAGCCTGCCTGCCTCTCCCATGGCCAGGGGGCAAGCTGAAAGACTAATGGTACAGATTTATGGTCCCCTGGGCATAGAAGAGGTGTGCAGCCTCTGCCCCCCACAAAAAAAAGGATCAGACTCCCTTGCCACTTCTGCCTTCAGCAGGCTCCTGCAGCCAGCAGGACAATCGCATATATATATAGTGATGGAAATTGAAACGGTGAGGTTCAGTGCTTGGTTGCATAGAATGCAACCTGAAGGACTAACACCCACCCCGCCACCGCCACCCATGTACAAGCGCCCCTGATGTCCAGATTCAGACTCAAATGTAACCACTTAATGTTTATTTTATCTTAAAATGAATTTTGGATAAGCCATTCCTTATAGCCATCAGTAAGCTTTTAAGAGAAAAACAGTACCTGCCACTACAATAAAACAATATGAAAAAGCAAGTTAAGCTTGCAAAGTGAAACATTCAAGGTCGGAAATGGCAAGGTTAAGGTTGATAGCACTATTTAAACAGCCTCTTCTGGGTGTGAATGATGATAAGATCTTTGGGCCAGTCTCAGGTAAGATCCAGCCTTTTTGCTTCAGCAGGTAATGCAGAAGAGTTGAATTTTGGTTGAAAACAGCCAGCATAAAGTCCCCTTATGAATGGGAACTCTGCCCTAACATACTGCACATGTTGGGGAATGGATGGCAGATCAGGCAAAGCAAGCTTTGTCCCACCAACATGCCACTGACATAAACTGCTTAAGGTTGCTCTGACTCAGAACTGAGACAATGCAGAATCATTGGTCTGGCTTTTTCCAGGGATGTAATTATAGTTGTGGTAACACAGACAACTATTGTGCTGCTATTTGCTCAAAGGCTGATGAACAGATGAAGGCTTAATTAATAGATTTCATAGAGAAGTAGTTTTAGAAGGCTGGTGGCAGAGCTGTACTGCTACCCAGAGTGTCCACAGGTGGCATAGAGAGGAATGGCCTTTCAGGGGAGGTTAGCAGGGGTAACTGACAAATACGCAGCTGTGGACCAAGCAGCAGCAGCACCACCAGGATGTGGTGGGGACAGCAGATGGCAGTACTTTCCCTCCTGAAAAGCCATATACACCTTTGATGGTGCTGTGACATGGTGAGTACAGGTTGCCACTATAATAAGCCTTCCAGCCCTCAGCCAAGGGCCTACAAGTCCTCAGTGGCAGAGCAGGCAGAAGAAGATGTTAGAATCTCAATGGCTGCAAAGGCAGATGAAGGCTGCAGCTGAACAAGATCTCCAATTATCTTGGCCTCCTTTGATTAAGGTCCCATTCTGCCAAGAACCATGTAAAAGCTGATGTTCAGCTGCTTTTCCACAATAAAAGAAATCATGTACAGGTGTCTTCAATGAAAACAGCTTTTCCTGCACATTTTAAAGCCCTTTGGCACCCAGCTAGTGATGATGGGAGCAGAATTGTGAGGTTCTGGAAGCTCCTAGCCATGCACTGGCATGAAGGTGGCAGTTACAAGAAGGTCATCTGGCACTTGGACAAGGCAGAGTGCTATTTGGCAGCTGTAACTGCAGCTGATCAACCCTCTTCAGGATCCACTCTGTTCACCCCATGTGGGGAGGGGACTAGAAAATATACCCTAAATATAGCCTGTCTACCTTCTTCCTGACTGGATAGCTACATCCAGTGAGATCACCTTTACTGCGGTCGAAATCAATTAAGACACACAATTATTTTGGGGACCTAAAACATCAGGACCCGCATGAACAATTCTAATAGTGAATGCCCAGAATGCCATGCTGCAATCGTAGCTTAAGAACTCAGGCAACACAACATAGACATCACTGCATTGAGTGGGAGATGGGCAGCTCAAAAAAATGTGGAGGTGGCTATACCTTCTTCTGGAAGGGTAAACAGGAAGGAGACACTGAGCTCACGGAGTTGGCTTTGCCATTAAGAATGAATTCATAAACCAACTCAACAAATTCTCTACCAGAATTAATGAGCACCTCATGACTCTCCATCTTAAACTGGCAGGGAGCCAATACACCACTGGCATCAGCACGTATGCCCCAACTCTTAATGCTGTCAATGAAACCAAGGAGGAATTCTAATCCAACCTTGACCAAGTCCTTTCTGATATTCTGGAGGGAGATAGGCTTATTCTGCTTAGCAGTTTCAACATCACAGTTGGAAGAGACTCAAACCTCTGGAACAGAACAATCAGCAAGGAAGTAGTGGGAAAGATTATCTCCCATGGCATCATCCTCCTCTTGACCAAATGCACAGAACATGGACTTATCGCCACCAACATCCTGTTCTGCTGGAAAAACAGGTACAAGACATCATGACAACACCCAGAATCTAAGCACTAGCACCTGCTTGACTAGGTCATTGTTCATACCTGGGATTGCAAAGATGTCCACATCACCTGAGCTATGCTAGGAGCTGATGATTACTGGACTTATCACTGATTCATCTGCTCAGTTATACCACTAAAAACTGACTCCCAAGTGATGGCTGCAGCAGAAGCAATGCCAACAGAAGATAAATATCAAAGGACTCAAGGACCCAATGAAGCAAGATCTCTTCCACCAGTGCCTCAATGAAAAACTGAAAAATTCCAGTCAACAACAATGGGAGAATGTTGGCAGTGCTTGGGGTGCCTTCAAGTCCACTGTCATCAGCACCTGCAAAGAGACACTTGAATTCTGTACAAGGAAACATCGAGACTAGTTTGATGAGAATGACCAGGAGATCCGAGAGTTGATCAAGCATGAGTTCTGTTCTGCTTGGCAGAATGACATCAACTTCAAGTAAAAGAAATTGAATCTCCAACAAGCCAGAGCAGAGGTAAAAAGATGGATCCATGATATGAAGAATAGATGGTGGGAAGAAAAGGTGAAGAAGATTCAGCATCTTGCTAACATCCATGATATGTGTGATTTTTTTCAATGCCACCAAAGCCAGGTATGGTTTGAGCACTCAGGGACCAACACCCTTGAGATTTATAGATGGGAGAGACCTAATCAAGGAAAGTGGGAGAGCATTTTGAAGACTTTCTCAATTGAGATTCTGCTGTTGGAGAAATTGTTCTCAACTCCATCTCACAACACCCAGTCAGACACGATCTTAGAATCCCTGCAACTCTTGACAAGGTAAGGAAAGCCATCAAGCAGATGAACAATAAGGCATATGGAGCTGAAGGAATCCCCACTGAAATCTTCAAGCAGGGGGAAGAGGAGTTCACATCACTGCTCCATGCCCTCAATTTAAGGATTTGGAATGATGAGGAAGTCCCAGATGACCTCAGGGACACCATGATTGCGACAGTCTTCAAGGAAGGCGACAAGTCCGACTCTGGAAATTACAGAGGAATCATCTTACTGTCTACCGCAGAAAAGACTGTTACAAGAACCTCCATGAACCATCTCCTCCCAATGGCTGAAGAGCTCATCCCAGAATCTCAGTGTGGGTTTAGAGCATCAAGAGGCATAACTGACATGATCTTCACAGCTCACTAGCTGCAGGGAAAATGCTGGAAACAACATAAACCTCTCTAAATGGCCATCTTTAACCTCACAAAAACCTTTGACTCTTCAACACAAGAGCCTTTGAGTCTTTGACACAAAAGCCTGTCAACCAAGAAGCACTGTGGAGGATCCTTCTGAAGTATGGATACCACCTAAAATTCATCACCATTCTTTGTCTGCTCCATGATGGTATGCAAGCAGCAGATCTCAATAATGGATCTACCACAAATCCTTTTGAAGTTAAGATGGGTGTTAAGTAAGGTTGTGTTATTGCTCCAACACCCTTCTCGATATTTCTTACTGAGAAGCTACATCTAACCACCAACAAGCTTCCAGTCGGAATGGAGCTAAACTACCGAATGAATGATAAAATGCTTAATCTCAGCCAACTCCAAGCAAAAAACAAGGCAACCCCCACCTCAATCATTGAGCTCCAGCGTGCTGATGATGCTGTAGCCTGTGCTCACTTGGAAGCAGACCTTCAGGCAATTGTCAACATCTTTATCAAAGCATACAAAAAAGTGGGACTTATGCTTAACATTCAAAAGACACCCCTACATCAACAAGCTTTTAATAATCAGTCCCCAGATCTGGTAATTCAGGTTATCAGTAAGACTCTGGAGAACATTGAGTATTTCCTGTACCTCAGAAGCCATCTCTCACAGAAGGCTGACATCGAAGAAATTCAACAACACCTCAAATATGCAAATGCAGCCTTTGGACACCTGAGAAAAAGGGTGTTCAAAGATTGTGACATCAGATCCAAAACTAACCTCATGGTTTATCAAGCAGTTGTGATCCACACCTTACTCTACAGAGCTGAGGCATGGACAATGTACAGGAGATGCCTCAAGTCACTGAAGAAGTATGATCAATACTGCTGCAGATCTTTCAAATCCAGTGGGAAGACCGATGCACCAACATTAGTGTCCTCTCACAAATAGATGCCACAGGCATCGAGGAGATGATAATCTGACATCAGCTTCACTGGCCCAGCCACATCATTTGGATGTCTGACTCCAGACTCCCAAAGCAAATTCTCCCAGCTCAGTCAAAGTACATGCTCAAGAGGAGGTGCAGAGAAACTGCTTCAAGGATGTCCTCATGGACAGTTTGAAAAAATGCATCAACATCAACTCATGGGTGATCAATCTTGTCAGCTATATTCAGACCCACAGATAGAACAATCATGGAAGACAAATCACCCTCAGCTGTGAGAGGGATTGCTAAAAAAGGTCTGGAAGGGGCCTCCAGAGGTCATCTAGTCCAACTCCCTACCTGAGGCAAGATCATCTCTATCCAAACCATTGTATGCAAATCCATAATTTAACTTTTGCATAAAACTACCATCAGCCTTGATACAACACACAGGACATAACACCCCAACCTGCCACAGGTAAAGCAGGGAAACCATGGCAACCAACATCCTGTTCTATAAAAATATAGTTAATATATGCTCAAGAGATCCCAGGTAGAGGGCCATGCCCCCCGCTACAAAGGAAGGCAAAAATCCCTCACAGTCTATACCAGGGGCAGACAAAAATATGGCCTGCAGGCTGGAACAGGCCTGCCAGGTGATTCTGCCTAGCTCACAGGGTTCTTCCAAAAGCCAAAAGGCAATTCTCATAAGCCCTGGCCCCTGGTTGCCCCTCTAAAAGCCAGCCCCTCCATACAGGAGGTGCTAGCACCCACTACAGCATCAGCTCTTGCTCTGGTTGCTAAGCAACTAACCCCCACCCCAACCTGGCCTGATCTGACCAGCCCGCAGACCCAAGGTAGATGCTGCTGGAGACAAGAAGCTTCTCTCCAGCAGAGGCTAACATTATAGTAGATGTTTGATTTTTAGTATGGGTTTTTTTTCTGGTTCCAAGTTGGCAAACAAGTCCCCTACCCCCTCCCAAAAGGAGAACTTCCAAGGCAAGGGAAGGGACTTCCAGTGTCAAAGGTCAGGAGTTAGGGGTGCGGCTTAAGGTTCCAAGATGGCAACCAGGGGACAAGTGACCTGTCAAGGGGTGGAGCTAGCTTTGCAACCCTCAATAACTCACCA